GTCAGGTTGTTTGTGCTGGAGGTTGAATCAGTGTACTCAAGAGTTGAGCTGATTTTGGGTTTTGTCACCATCATTACCCTCTCAGCGCACCACAGGCTTCGTATTTCTCCTGCAGTTGGCTGCTGGTCCCTTGTGTTTAGAGAATGACATGTCACTCTGCAAGATTTCTCTCTGTGTTCCTGTACCATCCTCATCTTCCAACAGTCTTTGCACATCTGTGCAATACAAGTATCAGTATTTCTTCTTATGTTATTGACCCTCTCCCAGTAATTGCCTATTGCCGGTTATTTAGTGCCATGCTTGTGGTGCAGAGCAGGCTTCTCTTTTGTTCTGGTTCAGACTCAATTATATTCAGGCCATTTGTCCTGGGCATCAGTTGGGCTCTCTCAGCCTCAGCATTACTGCCTTCTCTTCCTTGTGGCCTGCCCTTTGTTCCATGTATTTGTGGTAGGTCATGGACAGGAATATCCTTCTTTCCCCTAGTAGTAGTAGAAGTCTCTTTGGTATTGGTGCAGGATTCTTTGCCTAACACTTTTTCCTGCTCTGTATTCTACCACCATGGCAGAGGTTCTTTTACCTCTACCCCTCTCCTAACAACATTATATCTTTTCCTGTCCCATAAGGGAGAGTGTTTGTCTACCTCTTCCCCAGGAGCAGAGGCATTTTGCTTCGATTCTGCCCTGAAGCAATGGATTTCTGCCAGGACCTTTGGTTAGAGGATTTTCTGTTCTTCTTCTAGTGGTTTGAAGCTTTTTGCTCTGTTAGAGAACAGTTGGGGAATCAGGCTTCAGCCTTGTCCTAGACACCTCCTGCACACTTCCCCTAATGATGAGGGCTGTCTCGGGTTTCCCGTCCTAGTATTATACTAATCTTTCATGTGACCACCTAGTCAAGGCATGAGGAAAATCTTGCAAGTGAGTGAGAACTTTCCTTATGTCTGAGGTCTCCAGCTATTCTAAACTGACGTAGTAGGTTACACTTGGTCTTTAAGAATTTGTTAAAATTTTAGCTTTTTTCTTATACTGTTGTATAGTGGCCACTTCTTTTTCTGTGACCTGACAAAGGTCAGACAGTTTGTGTGTAGTCTTTCCTTGGAGGAGCTTATCCCTCTAAGGAGAGGAATAAAATTTACTTCGTGTTTTATTAAATTTGCTAGTTGCCTTGTGACCTCCACTCTTTGTTAGACCAAGAGAAGTTTTGATTTTATAGATAGGATTTTTTTTTTCTCATTAGTGTAGGAGCGACATTGTTTTGTGGCTTTCTGCATTTAAGCAGAAATGGGACTACTTGGAGTTCTTGACAGGTATGTTATTTAAAAATTATGTTTATGCTGATCCTCCTTTGATGTTTTCCCTTTTCCCTCATCTGCCTCTCAATCACTTCATCTTTTAGGATTGAACCTAAGCTATTTCCTCCATGAAACCTTTCCTGATTCCAATAAGTAGAATGGAACATTCTTGACTGTGTCTCTTGTAGAACGTGTTTCATTTTTTTGCAGGCCCATTGAAACCCTCAGTGAGATTGGGCATCTTTAAGATTTTGCAAGTTTATGAGCATAATGGTTGTTGGATTTTTAGATACGATCATAGAGTAAACTTGAGATAAAAGGTAAAATGATATACAGGGAAGCTCATGTTTATTAATAGAATACAATTTGTGAAATCATACCACACAGGTTTCTGTGCTGTTTGGTTCGTGTAGTTGTTGCTTTTTAACTAAATTATTGTCAGAAACAAGACTTAAATTTGTAAAAATCTAATATTTGAAAAATAAGGGATTGTTTACACAAACTAGTATATATTTACACAATGGAATATTGTAGAGCTGTAAAAGCTGCGAAGAAACATTTCCTAACTTGGAAAAATATCTAGGACATACTGGTGATTAAAAAGTAAGATGCAAAACTGAATATTTTGTGTCAGAAGGCAAGAGGAGTAAGATTATATTTATAGGTAAATGTCTTTGCGGAAAGAATTGCTGGAAGAATATACAAGAAACTAATAAAAGTGGTAACCTACAGTAAGCAAGGGCAAAGTGAACTGCATGTGGATGATGTGGGAATGAGACTTTTTAGTTATAGCTTTCATTTTATATCATTTTGATTTTTAAATCATGAATATAGCATGTATTCAAAAAATGAAAACCAGTAGAAATAACTATGTAGACATTGAAAGATAAGAAGATCTGAAAAGTTCTTCAGAGCCAATAAAAAATGTTAGTCTATGAAACAAAACTTGGATGTGAGACACTTTTATTTTAAATAAGCCAGCTCTCACCAATGCGAGAGTGAATACAAAGTGTGGAAAATTGTGAAGGACAAGGTTTTATGAATCTGGCTCCAGATAAAAAAATATGTAAAAAGGTAGCTTTCCAGCACAATTAGGAAGGTTTTGGTTTTAGATGCAGTAGTAGTTTGGATAATCACTCAAAGCAGAAAGGAGCACTTTGAATAGGTAAAAACTATGGCAGAAATACACGGTACTTGGAGTGAGCAAGGCAGCCATTTCTCACTCATAAAATCACCAGCAATACCCTTGGAATCTGGTAAGATGTATTTATTGTCAGAAAAAAATAGATAAAAATACCAAGAATATTCTTATCACAAAGTAAAACCTATAAATAAACAATAATTATTTAAATAGATTATAGTTCAGACACCCACCTTACGGGCAAACAAATGAGATATAAAAGAAGAAACTTTGTAAACCAAGGGATGATGAGAATTCCTTAATGTTGCTAGGAAAAACTGGTTGGTAATTTGAAATGCAGATCAGTTTAGAGCCAAATCTTTCTATACATTATATGAAATGAAGTATTGAGAAGGTTAGTCCATAGAAAAATGAAAATCAGAGCATTATCTTGTATCATTAAAGGGGCAGAAATTTCAAAACAGAGAAATAATAAAAGATATGAAAAAGGGAATGATGGACAAATCCATACACCTGAAAATAAAAACTTCTGTATTAAGGGCCAATGTTAAGACTGAGAACATGTTAAAAGTAAGCAAGAGAAATACTACACGTAGAGCAACCCAAATTTGAAAATCTGAAATGCTCCACATTACAAAACTTTTTGAATGCTGACATGAGCTCAAAGGAAGTACTCATTGGAGCAGTTTGAATTTCAGGTTTTCAGATTTCAGATTCTCAACTAGTAAGTGCCATGCAAATACCCCTAAATTGAAAAAAATCCAGAATCTGAAACACCCAGGCATTTGAATAAGGGATACTCAACTTGTATTATCACAATATAAACAATTTACACAAATGGGTAAGGAAAACATAAAGAAATCTCTATTCCATTCCATCCCTAGTAGGGGTGGAAGAGGTAGAGTGGCAGAAGTTTGAGAAAAAAGGCAGTGTGAATTATGGGAGAAGGATCTGATTAATGAATGGTGCATAAAGGGTTGCTGCACAGCATTCAGTGTCTAGCCTTAAATAGCAAAAGCCAGCAGGATCAATTCACATGGTTGTGTGATTTTTCTCTAGCAAGCAACTGGATTAAGGACTTTGAAGGTGATGAAGCTGAAGGAAGAAATAGCATACTAGGTGGATTTGTAGTTTAGGAGATAACCAAGATTTCGAAACTGGAGATAAGAAGCGACTAGAATGGAGAAAGAACAGGTAGCATGCATCCAAGGTAATGAGTCTGGACCCAGGTTAGAAAAAATAGAGTGAGATATTGAGTGACAAATTGAAGAAGAGGGTCATACAGCCAGATGTGACATCACAGGGAAGGAAGGGGATTGCTTGTGAGGGTCTCGAAGTGTCACTCTGGAAAATTTTGTCTCTACCACCTTACCCTACACTCTAGATAGAGCATTATTTTCAAGAGCCAGATTTAGCTCAGTGGTTGAAGAGTTGGTCAGTGATGAAATTGAGAATATAGAGATGATTTGTTTTACTTACATAGGAGGGATTTCCAGAGGTCGTTGTGGAAAAGGTTGGAAGAAAGGGCAGCAATGGGAGACCAAATGGAGTGGATGAGAAAGCATAACTGCATGCAAATAGGTCAGAGGATAGTTGGCCAGAATGGTTTGCATTTTGAATAAAGCCCAAGAGTTATAGAGGTAGGAGTCACAGGTAGAATTAACTAGCCACACATTTCTGGCCTGCAGTATAATGACCGTCTCTGGAGCGGGCTGTCTTTGTGATTCTAAAGAGAATGTTAGTAAAAAGCTTAACCCTGGGTGGTAAAGCCTAAATTAATTTGGCCTTAAATAGCAAAAGCCAGTAAATCTCTCTCTTTTTTTAGACAGGATCTCACTCTTTTGCCCAGGATGGAGTACAGTGGCATGACCTTGGCTCACTGTAGCCTCGACCTCTTGGGTGCAAGCCATCCTCCTACCTTAGCTTCCTGAGTAGGTGGGACCACAGGTGCATGCCACCATGCCCAGCTAATTTTTGTATTTTTTTGTTGTTGTTGTTTAGAAACAGAGTTTTGCAATGTTTCCCATGTCAGTCTTGAACTCCTGAGCTCAGGCAATCTGCCCACCTTGGCCAAGCAAAGTGCTGGGATTACAAGCATGATCTACTGTGCCATTAATTGAGTAAAATCTAGTCTGTAATATCTTACTTCCAGTGTCTTAGGACGGCATAATAGCCATGATATCAGGTGCTTCTTTATTACAGAGTGCTTCTGGGAACTGTCTTTCCTGTTACTATTCCACTTTACCTAAAACTGGATACTCAGGCTACTGCTGCTGAGGTGACTTCAGCAACTCCCCTGGGATACCAAGGCAAGCCCCAATTGATTGCATACCTTCTTTGGGGATCTGAGCTTTTAAAAAAGCCAGCAACTACCTTTTGTCAAGTTGATATATTTATCTATTATACCTTTAATATTTAATTTTTTAAAACTTGTTACTAGTGACAAGAATGATAATTGACATTTCTTGAATAACCAGAACATCTGTATGCTTACAGGGTAACAGTGGTGTGTCACAGTAAATTCTGTAATGTTTTCTATGGCCTAAATGTGTCCTCTCTCTCCTGCTTTAGATCTATCCATACTAATGGAAATGTAACTGGAACTGACTTCGATGATAAAATCAAGGACCATCAAGCAAGATCATGCAGTAGGCAACTTTGCTTCCAAATGAAGTTACCAACATTTAAAATTTCTACTTATTCTAAGGTATTCGAGGCACAATTTTACTTTAGTTTTGGCTCCTTAGTAGTCATTTTGTAGTGTTGATTTCTATACATAGGTTTGGTAAGTTTAAAAGTACTTATGTTAGAATGCTTAGCTCTTAGAGAAAAGTTCACTTCCCTCCTTTCGTACTATACTCCCAAAGAAACCAACTGAGAAAAGATGCAGATTTTTTTTTTCAAAAGCCTGTAGTACTCGGTATTCTCATGTGGCCTCACAACCAATACTAACCAGGCCCGACTGTTCTTAGCTTTTGAGACCAGGCATGTTCAGGGTGGTATGGCTGTAGACAAGATCCAGATTTTAAAGGGATATATTTATTAAAATTAGGAAAGCATGTCAATTATAATAAATGCATTAAGTATAGATTAAGTTTCAATAACTATATTAGAAGAACTGGAATAAATGTCAGTTTAATAATTATTTTATTTGCATTATGACCCCTGAGATAAGCAACTGAATGCAGCACTCTGAGTCCACCTGCATGATGTCAGAGACCTTATTGATTATCCTTTAGATGGTTTGAAACCTTGCTCGCCTTTCCTCCTAAACTTATTGTTAAGGATTTTCTGTTCACCAATATGTGTCACTGTGACTCCTCGTAGGCTGCTCCTGTAGGACCTTTGGGATATAATGAATTACTTGGACCAGAAAAGCAAGATATCTAATTAAAGAGTCAGGTGATACTTCCAAAACATGAGGTGGATCCCCACTTGAAAGACTACATAAGACAAATAAAACAAAAAGGAAATATAATGTCAACAGAAAGCAAAAATAGTTCAATGTTTTTACACATAAATTCCAAACAGGGAGAGTGAGTTAGGTTTTTATTTTAAAAACAAAATATTTTTGGCTGGCATGGTGGCTCACACCTGTAATCCCAGCACTTTGGGATGCCGAGGTGGGAGGATCACCTAAGGTGGGGAGTTCAAGACCAGCCTGACCAACATGGTGAAACTCCATCTCTACTAAAAGATTAGGTGGGCATGGTGGCACATGCCTGTAATCCCAGCTACTTGGTAGGCTGAAGCAGAAAAATTGCTTGAACCCAGGAGATAGAAGTTGCGGTGAGCTGAGATCGTGTCATTGCACTCCAGCCTGGGCAACAAGAGCGAAACTCAGTCTCAAAACAAAAACAAAACAATATTTTTTTATTTTAACTATATTTTTCCAAATAGGCAGAAAGTATGGAAAGTATTTTAGGGGACAGGTCAAAGTTTATTGATTTCTCTGAAAATATTACAGTTTTGTAAATTAATATTTTGCTAGAATATAGAGAAGGTAAAAACCTGAGAAAAATGTAAAAATGTATCACTTATTACTAGGATTCTTAACTTCTGTTTTAGAAGAAGACTATAAAAAGCATAAAGAAGACTATGTAAAGCATAAAGGATCCTTGGGGTGTTATATCACCAGCCAGAAACCTCTGTGGCTGGTGGTGCCTTTGTCTGAGTTTTGCTTGGGTCCACTGGGCACAATCAGTCTGGCAGGCTGTGCACAGCTTATACTACTGGCCTGGATCCCACACCTGCCAAGGGCGAGCAGAGTGGCGAGGGGTGTGTGAGCGAGTGAGCATGGGGTCCGACCACTGTGCACAGCCAGGCATGCTGGCTGTGGTGGGGCAGGCAACTCCAGGCACCAGCATGGGTGTTGGCTCCCTGCATGCTGTGTTTGGACCATGTTTACCACAGGCGGCTTCCCTGGCTGGCCCCAGGAAACACAGTGACGCCTGGAAGCTTGGAGATGCCAGGAATCTCAGAGCCCCAAAGAGGGTGTCATGGCCCTGGCTTGGGGAACTCCTAGGTCTGGGCTCCCTGAAGGGCCGCAGCTCTTCTCTCCTTCTTGTCCCCTGCAATGTGGTGAGCAAGGAGCATGTTTCAGTCCTGTTTGTGTTACAGCTCTTTCAACCTTGCCATTCAACAGGTTCCTAGTTATTGTCCCACACCCAAGAAGAATAAGGTAACATGCATAAGTGGAGGGTGAGCAAGGTGAACAGGAGTTTTATTGAGTGATAGAATAGCTCAAAGGAGACTTGCAGTGGGTAGCTCCTTTCTGTAGCCAGGGTGTCCTGATGAGTGTTCAGCTTTTGGCAGACAAGAGACCCTGGAGTTGAAGTGGGTAGCTCCTCTCTGTAGCTGGTCTCCCTATCCTGTCCTTGAAGTTGGCTGAGTCCAGGATTTTTATGGGCTTCTGAGTGGTTGAGGTGCATGCTGCTTAGTTCATGGGCAGCTATGGGCAGGCCCAGAGAAAGCACCGTAAGTTTCCATTCCGGTCTGCAGGACTGGCATCCTGGCTCCCAGGCTTGAGGCATTCCCCGGTTTGAAGGTGAGGCTTCACCAGGGATCTGCCCCTTTCTGTCCAGGAGCCTCTCTGCCTCCTACAACTGTTCCTGGTGCCTAGGCTATTCCTGCTGAGGGGCACCTGCAGGCCAGCATTGAGTCTTTCCTTGGCTTCCCTCTTGTGCTCATCTGCGCCCACCCAGCTGGGTTGCAACAGTGCCTGGGCTTGGCCTCAACTTCGTTCCAAGATTGGAGCAGGTGCTGGGAGCAGGAAGAGGCCAGGCAGTGGGAGTAGGCACTTCTGAGCCTGCAGGGAAATGGGGGGGCCTTCCTTGGTGCAGAGAAACCTCGGTCCACAGTAGTGGCTGGGTGGCTGCAGCCACACCCAGGAGCATGGAGCTTCTGCCTGCTCCTAGCCCCTGCCAGCTCAGTGGAGCACACAGCCCTGCCCCCATTTACCCCACTCTAGATGGGCCACTGCTGCCATCACTAAGACTGCTCAACTACAATAAATGGATTACCTCCTGGAAGGGGTTAGTGTAATTGAGCAATTTTTGCTAAAGAAAAATTATCTCAGTTCAAGTAGCAGATGAAAAAGAGGTTATGTTGATGATAAGTTTTAACACTTCCCTGGCAACTTGTAGATGTTTTGTACTTTTCTTTGTTTTCTTGATGTCATTTGAACTCAAATAGTAATGATGACTAAATATATAATTTGTCTTAGTACCAGAGCCATTTTACTTGTTTTTCTAAGTATATCTTTTCTTCTTACTTTCACTTAGGAATATTAATGGACTGCCCAAGCTTTGCAAAGAATGATTCTAGATATGGGGAAGAATATAAATTATTCTGTAACTTCATTATAAATGAAATTGAAGGTATCTTTTATTCAGAATGCTAACTCTTGGGCTAGGAAGACTAAATACACCTATCTGAAGCCATTTATGTGTAGTCATAAGATGAGCACATCAAATCACAATCTAGAATCCCTTTCTAAGTAATATACTTAAGCTCTGTATTCAGACCTTAACAAAAGTAAAGATTAGGGAACAGGAAGTTCTCATCAATTGAATTTGCTAGTTGGCTGTATAAAAGTGCGACATAAATTAGGTTGCTTACATTTTTTAATTAGGAATTTATTACTTATCAGTTTCTTTTTTTAAGACAGAGTCTTACTCTGTTGCCCAGACTAGAGTGTACTGTGGCGTGATCTTGACTCAGCACAACCTCTGCCTTCTGGGTTCAAGCAATTCTCTTGCCTCAACTTTCCCAGTAGCTGGGATTATAGGAGTGCATGACCACACCTGGCTAATTTTTGTAGTTTTAGTAAAGACAGGGGGTTCACCATATTGGCCAGGCTGTTCTTGAACTCCTGACCTTAGGTGATCCACCTGCCATGGCCTCCCAAAGTGCTGGGATTACAGGCATGAGCCACTGCACCTGGCCATTTATCAATTTCTCATATCTCCCCACTGTTTTTCAAATGTTCACAGTATGATAGCCTCTATTCATAGTTGTCATTTTCCATTTTGAAAATGAAGAAAAGTGAAAACCTCACAAATTTCTGCTTGGAAGAGTTATATAATACTTTTGAACTTCAGACTTAAAGAATATGGGATTTTGTTGTTCTAGGGGATAAGAGCAAAACAAAGTCAGTACTTGAGATGGCAAGTTAAGGCCCTAGAACATTTGCAAGGTTATGTGTCCTGGATTACAGCTTATATTAGGTTAAAATGGTACCTTTTAAAATGTTTTGTCTGGACTCAGTAAAACATTTGAAAACAAATTTTGGCAAATTATATGAAGGGAATGGATATTCCCTGCTACAGTTTTTTCCATGCTATGATGGAAAGAGCAGAAGCTTTACTTTCATGCTACCTTGGGACAATTAATATTTCTTAGTTTCCTTTTCTGTAATAATTAAGTTTTAGAGGTGAGGAAGAATGAAATGTGTGTAAAATAATGAAAAGTGTTGCTTTTTAGTGTGAAATTAATGAATGTTGTTGCCAAGACAGAGAGGACCACATTACTTTATCATTCAGAGGTATCCTTTTCATAGCAAAAAACAGGTCTACTCACTACTATTGAGAAGCTCGTAAAACCAGTTTGAAAGTTAATAGCAAATATTATGCTTGGAGAGAAAGTAAAATGAGCTTTTGGCACAAATCCCTTATCAAAGACATACCATCTGGAAAAGCAATTACTGTCATGTGCACATGCCAGTGGATATTTTGTTTTTCAGCTTGGTGAAAGCACTGATGTACAGAAGACATACTTGATACAGGTGTGTTGCTGTTTGTCACTGAAATACCACTATAGCAGAAGTGTTTTATGTTTTGTTGTTGGTTGGTTGTTTTTTTAAGCCATTACAGCCTAGAAAAGTTGCATTGTTTCCTTCTGATCAAAGCATCAACAACTATAGCTGCAGGAAATGGTCTACTTGCTTTTTAAGTAAAAGAAATTACAGCAGGGTATCAATTCATATACCGCTTTCTTCAGAGAGAAGAATTGGCATTTAGTAATGTGACTTTTTATCATGATTTAGTGTTGATTAGTAAAACTTGTGAATGTGAGCAGTTTTGACCACTTAAGTCATCTCTTTTCAGAGTTTTATGACAAAATAGCAGCAATAGTATGTTGCTTTTTCATAGTGATATGCTAGCTGTATAGGAGGAAAGGGTTTACATGTTTGTTAATTAGTTTTTTAGTAGAATGAGATAAATACTTGCTGCTATTGTCATTTCTATGATTTCAAGGGACATAACTTGCCTAATACCTGTGGTATTTCAAATAGTCTGAACTTACAACTTTGTAGTCTCATGATATCATGAGTTTCAATGTTAAGGATGAAATATGAGGATTTTGCAAAAAAATAATTTAATCTCTGAGAGTTTGACCACATCCCCAAACTTGATGGTTTTATTAAATTTTTTAAAAAAGAATTTGTATTATACATGTCTAAAAACCACATCCAAATTTTGAAATAGAACATGAAGAAATACTTTCCAGAGTCAAAATGCAAGCAGAGAGTAGATTAGGAATCTTTTTTTCAATTTCTCAAGTTGAAGCACTTAATTTCCAGCTTTAAGTGATACATACTTTAAAAATTTTTTTTTTATATTTTTGCATTCAAAGGAATGCACATATTAGAAATCAGTGAGAAATCTTGCTACATGATTTCTGGGTCCATGTTCAATTATATCCAGTCTGCATAATGCCACTGATTTATTATTTATTATTAGAGATTTTTAATTTAGTAAAAATAAAGAACAAGAGTTAGAGTGAACTGGCAACCAACAGAATGGGCAAAAATTTTTGCAACCTACCCTTTTGACAAAGGGCTAATATCCAGAATCTACAAAGAACTATAACAGATTTTCAAGAAAAAAACAAACCCATTCAAAAGTGGGTGAAGGATATGAACAGACACTTTTCAAAAGAAGACATTTATGAAGCCAACAAACATATGAAAAAATGCTCGTCATCACTGGTCATTAGAGAAATGCAAACCAAAACCACATTGAGATACCATCTCTTGCCAGTTAGAATGGCGGTCATTAAAAAATCTGGAGACAACAGATGCTGGAGAGGATGTGGAGAAATAGGAATACTCTTACACAGTTGGTGGGAGTGTAAATTAGTTCAACCATTGTGGAAGACAGTGTGGCGATTCCTCAAGGACCTAGAAATAGAAATTCCATTTGACCCAGCAATCCCATTCCTGGGTGTATATCCAAAGGATTATAATCGTTCTTTTATAAAGACACATGCACACTGTTTACAGTAGCAAAGACCTGGAGCCAACTCATTGCCTATCGATGATAGACTGGACAAGGAGATGTGGCACATATATACCATGGAGTACTATGCAGCCATAAAAAAGGATGAGTTTGTGTCCTTTGTAGGGACATGGATGCATCTGGAAACCATCACTCTCAGCAAACTGACACAAGAACAGAAAATCAAACACCGCATGTTCTCACTCATAGGTGGGTGTTGAATAATGAGAACACATGGACACGGAAGGGAGCATCACACACTGGGGTCTGTTGGGGTTGCCTAGCGGAGGGACAGTGTGGGGGTAGGGAGTTGGGGAGGGATGATATGGGGAGAAATGCCAGATGTAGGTGATGGGGATGGAGGCAGCAAACCACATTGCCATGTATGTACCTATGCAACAATCCTGCGTGTTCTGCACATGTACCCCAGAACCTAAAGTGCAATAAAATATATATAAAATAATTAAAAAATACAAATACAAATGTTTTAAAAAATTTAGTCAACACAGAAAAATGTTTTCTCAAGTGTAATGAAGGATTCAGTAAATTATATTTTTTGACTTTTCAAAAAAATGAATAAAAATAAAGAACAGAAAAGAAACCAGCTGAATATGAAAATTGGTTTATGGTTCAATCTGATTCCAGATGTGGGGGTTTGAACATCTTGCAGTGAAGTTGTCAAACCCTAGCAGGGTTGTGTCAGACAACTGAGGTACATAATTGAATGGGCTCTGGTTGGCCAAAGAAAATGAGACAATTTGAGCATCAGTAAGCATTAACTGCAGTATAATCACATCAAATATGTTTAAATCCATGAGTTTTTAGTGATACTTTAAAAACTCATTAGTTTTCTTCAGAGTATGCTAAGGAGCCGACTATACTTGAGAGCAACCAAATAGTTGCTAAGAGGAAGTTTCTTTTCTTAGATAGAATAAAACATCACCATTTTGTAATGAATTCCTGGACCTAAGCAAAGATCATGAGTGGCTGCTAACAACACAGGAAGAAACAAACATTAGCTTTCTCTTAATGAAAGTTCGCAGTGCTACGGGTGAAGTATTCTTGCCAAAAAAGTTGAACCCCAATCTGATCAAGTCTTAGCTCTAACTACCAGTTTACAGGAAACATAGACGACATAGAAACATATTAAATGATACCATGAGAATGCAGTTAGCCAAATATAGGTTATAGAGAACTCCTAGAGACATATGACTTGTTTTTTTTCAACAAGCAAACTGTAGAGACAAAAGAGAGAAATGGAGGAGGAAACTGTAGATTAACAGGAATGACTGGACTTTATTTGAGTCCAGATTTTAATAAACATTTATGAAATAGGGAGATTTTAATACTGATAAGATATTTGATATTAAAGAATTATTGTTAATTTTTAGGTGAGATAATATAGTTATATATTTTTTTAAAAGCCCTTATTTTTTAGCGATACATAATGAAATATTGATGTAATAAAAGATATGCCTGGGCTTCTCATTCATTACTATCTGGAGTACAGGGTGGTTGTGGGTGAGGATTAAGTAAGATTGGCCATTAATTGATCATGCAGCTAGACACTTGTGATTTGGGGGACAGTACATGAGTGAGGGGGTGGGAATAATTCATGATAATATTTGCCGAACTTTTTTGAAAAATTCCATAGGAAAAAGGTCAAAAAATACAGTTGAATTATGTATATTTATCAACGTGCTGAATTCTTATTTCTAATAATTTATTGAGTCTGTTGAGTGTACTATATAGAAAATCCTATTGTCTGCAAGGGACAGTTTTACTGTATAGTGCTTACTATGTACCAGGCTCTATTCTTAGCCCTTTATACATATTAACATATTACATCGTCACAAGAACATCAATGAAGTTGACGTGAACTTGCAAAGGTTACACAGGTCATATGTTTTAGAGCTGGGATTTGTATTCAGACATTCTAGCCCTAGAGTCTGTGCTTCTCTAGTTTTTCTGTCTCTCTTTATAACTTTTTATTTTTAATCCCTCTATTCTAGTCCTTAAACCTTTTGTTTGTCTTAGTATGCTGGGGGAATTCAGCTTTTAAAGACCAGTTTAGAATTTTGATTTTGGAAATTTTCTTAATACTTAGGGAATCCAGAGTCCAGCTGACTTTGCTCCTTTACAAATACAAGATACTTACTAAGAGACTAAGAATTAGCTTCGTGTGTATCCAGAAACCAAAGGATCAAGTGTATTATAACAGTGTTTAGTGTTTTTCTGTTTTATTTCTCTCCTGATCTGTAAGCAGCCCATTCATGGCTCATTTTACTTTCAATTACTTGATTTTATTGGTATTACTTGCTGAATTTCTTTGTGATACTTAGATAAAATTACTCCTTCCTCCCCTTAACTCCTACACATGTTATATAATAACCTGCTTGATTTTACATAGATTACATGAGATAACCTTAGGCAAAGCACTTAGTACACAGTTTAGCACATAATATGTATCTAGTAAATATGCTTTTTGGTTTAAGAGACAACTACTTCACACTTTTGTTCAAAAATTGTTCTTTATTCTTTAGGTAACTTTTGAAATGGGGAGGGAAGAATATGGCTTAGTCACTTTAAGAAGTCCTAGGCCTGGGACAGGTGGGTAAAACTTGATAATGTGTTAGGGTGGTTTAATGAGTAATCTCTGTGTTCTCTGCAAGGAACGTTTTAATAATAGGCTCTAGGTTTGAGAAAGATTGCTGACTGAGTTGTTTTCCAAAAGAATGCTTGTTTATTAGAGGGTGAAGTAGGATCAATTTAGGGAAAATGTGACTTGTCCCAACTTCTTGAGTTTTTTGGTTCCTCTTTAGCCAACTGCAAAGGACATTATGACATAGTAAAATACTATATTTCATGAAAGGAGGTACATAGGCTCTAGTAAGAAAGAAAACTTTTGGTTTCATTCATATGAGAGAAGGGTCACAATTACAGATAACTTTTTCATGAAGGTTATGGAAAGTGACTCTCTGAAGTCCTGGGATAGCTAGTTAGAAGTTGTGGTATTTTTCTGTGCTCCATAACCGCCCTCACTCCACCCAGATGCACCTATTCTTTATATAGCAGTATACTGAAGCAACCTTTTAACATATCAATTATGTTTTTCAAAGTGATGTTAAAATATTTGGAAACCGAAGACCTTTCATTTTCCAAAGGTCAGTTATAATTATTCAGTGGCATAGCTATTGAAATTGCATCACCAATTACTCGACTGTGTTAAAGAAGAGGATTTGCTTTTGGGGGCCCGTAGGTTATTGATAAGAGATAAAACATATTTTTTGAAGAATCTGTGTGTATGGCAGCAACCCACTCTTCTATCTAATCATGAAAACTTTGGGAAATGAAGTGTTCCTCAACGAAATCTGGATGCTCTGGAAGCCAAAGGTGATCTGCAAGAGGAGGAATAGTTGAGAAGTGCTCACCTTAAATGTTGTTATCAGTTATTTGATGAAGACATTGAAATGTTTATTGCTCTGAAGATGATCTTAAATGAGGAGGCATAGTTAATGTGGCCTATACAGAATGTGAGATAATGTGAATTTAAGAAAGCTGATATGAGAAAAACAAAAATATAATAAGAAAATAGCTACTATTTAATGATCGTTGTATATCAAGCACCGTGTTAGATATTTTGTATATATTTTCAGATACTGTCCCAATAGGTGGTTATTGAATAAGTTACTGAATAGCTGTTAATGTTTTTGAGAGTTTTTGACATTTCTTGAAATTAGAAATTTCTTACATTATTAAGAAACACTCTTTGCTTGACCTTTGCAAGCCTAGTAAACACAGAATTAGATTAGGTGCAAAATTGAGAATCTCTGTCCTTAATCTTCATAGCATATGGATGCATTTAATGCTAGTAAAAATTGTAAGCCTGAATAAATGTAGTGTAAAACCTGCATTAATGATCTGGGGTTTATTAAGTTACTTACGAAGCTTTTATTTAAATTTGGGGTTAAGTTGATTTTTCCAGTTTTCCAATTAATGCAACATTTTAAAAAATCAATTTTAGGTTAAACTACAAAGGTAAACCTCAGTAAGTTCCAGAAAAGCTGAAACTATGTACGTCCATTCTCTGACTACAACAGAAGTTTAAAATGTACCACTTTAACCACTTGGAAAAATCAAACAGAAAATTTGCTTAAATAAATACAGGATTAAACAGGAGATCAAATATACAGTAACTGGTCATTTAGCACCTGAAATGAGATTCAGGCCAAGATTCATACTGTGCTTAGAAGTAGATTAATAGTCTTCATTAAATTTACTGTTGATGAGTGAAATAAATGTACTAAGCACTAAACCTTAGAATTTAGTAAAACAAACAGACTCAACAAAATAAATGCCTAGGAGAAAGGGAAGATATTAATAAGATGAAAGCAGAAATTGGTGAATTAAAAACAGAAACCACAGAAATGAAAAATCTAAAAGCTATTTCTTAGGGTTGAAAGACAAAACAAAAATAGCTGGTAAATCTTACCTAGGAAAAGATAGAAAACCAAAATTAAGTTTATAAAGGGGATATAAGAATAGAAAAGATATTTTAAAAATTATAAGCAAATACTATTTATTAACTCTAAGCTGATTTATTTAAAATGAATTATGAGACACCCAAACTGATTTAAGAACAGTTGGTCTGGGGTTACATCCAACTAGTTCCAGAACCAACTTTTTCCAGTTAATTCTTTTTAGTTTTTAAGGAACATATGATTCCTTTGGTGAGAACTATTTTAGAGATTATAAAAAAGATGGAAATATGCCCAATTAATGTTATAAAATCAGTATGATTCTCTTAATGGTTCAGCGGAGTAAAACTTTTTGTGGGGGTGGGGTTACTGCTTTTTTTTAGTTTATATTTTAAGCACAGGTTTTTCTTAAAATTAAAACAATTGAGAAAAGAAAGAAACCCAGAAAGTTAAAACGTAAAGCTGTCTTTTATATCTATTAACATATTTACCATTGCTGGCACTCTCCTTTGTGTAAATCAAAATTTTGATCTGATATTCTTTTTCTTCTGCCTAAAAATCATTTAAGTGCATAATCTGCTGGTAATGGATTTTTCTCAACCTTTGTCTAAAAACATTTCCACCTTCATTTTGAAGTATATTTTAGCAGGGTGCAGAACTTGCCGTTGACAGGTTTCACCCCTTACAATCTTGCTCCATTGTTTTCTTATTTGTATAATTTCTGATGAGAAGCTTGCTGTCATGCATACCTTTGTTTTTCTGTACATAATCTTTTTCCTCCTCTAGAAGTCTTTAACATTTTTCACCCCTAATCACTGGTTTTCAACGACTTGATTATGATAATTGTTGGTGTGGTTTTCTTTGTTTATCCTGCTTGGATTTTATTGAGCCTCTTATGAATCTGTAGGTTTCTGGTTTTGATAGCATTGAAAAAAAAATGCTTATTATTTCTTCAAATATATTTTTTATCATTTTTTTCCTCTTTTTTGGACCACAGTTACATTTATCTTAGTTTATTTGTATGTTGCCACAAATCAGTGATATTCACTCCCATTATTTTTGTATTTTGTTCCTTTGTGCTTCATTTTGGATATTTTCTATTGCTATATCTTCAAGTTAACTGTTAAGTCTGCTGTAAGTCCTATGCAGTGTATTTTTCATTTCAGATACTGTATTTTTTTTTTTTTTTTTTTTTTTTTTAGTCTTATTTCTTCTCTTTCTCTTCTCATTATGTTCTTGTTTTCTTTTGTATTCTTGACTGTATTGACAATATTTTTAGGCTCTGGGCCTAAGAGGAGGCCATGCTGAGGCCAAGAGCTTGGCCTGGACAGATACTGTATTTTTAATTTCTAGAAGCTCCAATTGTGCCTAAAAAAAATCTTGCACTTCTGTGTTCAATACTACCATGGCTTTCTCTGCTTTCTTGAGTGTATCGAGATTTTGTATAATAGCTCTTTTAGCATCTCTGTTTGCCAAGCTCTCTGTCTCTGTCAGTTTTGTGTCTGTTTTTATTGATTTGTTATTCTGGTTATAGGTCATATTTACATATCTGGTAAATTTTGATTGTCACACATTGTGAATTTTATGTTATTAGATGCTTGATTTTGTTATAAAGAAGCCATTCCTTTAAATAATGTTGGACTGAGTTTTGGAATGCAGCTAAATTTTTTTGATGCCCTTTGAGTCTTGTCCTTTTTTAAGGAAGATTTCATAGGGTGAGTCTGGAGCAGTGAGTAGACTTTTCTCCTAGAGCTAATTTAGAAGCTGATTCCCTTCTGAGGACTTTACATGATGTTTCATGTATTAGGAGGTCTTTTCACGCTACTCTGTTGGAATACAAACTATTCATAGTCTTGTTTGAGTTTCAGAAATTCTTTGGCCTTTTGTGTGTGTTTTTTTTTTTTTTTGGTTTGGTAGTCCTTTCTCCAACCTCAGGTGGTTTCCTTCCACAAAGGACGTAACAGCACTCTACCAGCAGCTTGCAGGAACTCCTTTGCATGTCTCGAAGGCACTGTCTCTGTATGTAGTTTCTTTTTCTCTGTTAGGCTAGTCCACAAATTCTGGCTTCCTTGGCCCCACTTACTGTCAATCTTTGTGACCTCAACTCTTTGAGACTGTGAGGCTCTGTTTAAGCCCTATCTCCCTTCTGTACACTGCATCTTGTAAACTGCTTCAAGGGTGTGAGGTTGGGCAAATCTAGGACTCACATCATTTTTTCACCCTTTCTCAGGAATCCCACTCTGTTCCGACTGTTGTCCAATATGTAAAAACCATTGTTTCATCTGTTTTATCCAGTTTTCTGGTAGTATAAGCTGGGAGAACAAATCTAGTATCTGTTACTCCATCATGGCTATTTGTAGAAATTCTTGATTAACTTCTTCTCCTCCTTTTTCTGTGGATTAAGATGTGGGCCTAAATTCATCTCACATTATGTATAGACTGCATATGAAGTTTGCTTGATCTCAGAGTTTCAGGTGTTTGGCTTACCAGTAACTATGGTCCAAACTCTTTGATGATGATAAACAGATGATTTCACCTCATGCATTCCCCTCTCACTTTCACTGTCTGGAACCACTGCAGTAGTAGGGTGGCTGATCAAGAGTTATGGTATTCTGAGTCTTGGTCAACTACCACATAGTTTAAATAAGTTCTTAGTATTTTTAGCTAAAGTAAGACCCATACTTATTTGCTTTTTCTCAGCTCTTTCTGTTTGCTGGTATTTACTTTTAATTTTACCTGTTTTTTTTGTTGTTGTTGTTTGTTTGTCTCTGTTAGTTGGTAGTTTGTCTAACTGGTTGTCATTTTTCAGCTAGATTATATTTTCCATGTCTATTTTTCTGCATCATAGTAATGTTTAGGCTCTTGGAAGTGTTTGATCTGCATGCATTATATCTTTAGTTTTGTTACCTGTTTTCCTGATTGCTTTTCTCTACTCAAATGAATGAGTGAATAAATTAGTAACCAAATAAATGTAGACACATATACACAAAGTGCATTTTCTCAATTCAAACACTATTAATTGTGATATATACCAGAGATTTAATATAGTTTCATGAAAAAAGAAAGATTAAGTTTATTTTTAAAATCCTTAAAGGTTTACTGACAGAAATATACATTTATCCATATAACCTCTACCTCACCTTTTTGGGAAAAATAAGATTGAGTCTGATTGTCTTCCAAATTCTGATATGCCACTTTTCCTTACCTGTGCTTGCTTTCTTGGTCTCCTTGCACATTATGATTGACAGTATAATTTTGAGTCATATGGGAAACGTGTAGAATTTAACTGGTTTTCTTTTCAGCTAAACTCATGGTTTCAGTTTTTCTATAGGTAAGCTGTGAATTAAATAACTTCCTTTTTGAGTCAGCTGGAAACTTTTGACAGATTGATCTCCAGCACTTAGGTGACAGTATTTTGTAATATGTAAATTGGTCACACCAGTGTCTTCCAGCTCTGATAATTCAATGATCTGTTTTGAGAGATTGTGCAACTTTTACTGCCTTTAATTACCCTTACCTGACTTGCAATAGACAACTTTTATATCACAATAGCTTTTTATTTCCGTGCTTTGTCATGGTTCAGTCTTTCTGAAAACATTTTTAAGCAAGTTATCCCTTCAAATTTAAGTTAAAATTCAACTGCATCTGAGTTTATCTTTGAAGTTAACTCAGCTGAGGTCATAGTTGGATAGATACATACCTTCTATGGGATTGTATTTTCCATAGATTTACACGTGGGTAGGCAGTGACATACCTCACAACTTATTCTTTTGCATGGCTACCTGCATATTTTTTTAAATTTTAATTCTGGTACTTCTAGTTTCAGAAACCTGAAAATATTATTTTAAGAAAAGCAAATACCTTTGGTATTGAGAAAATCTAGTTTAGTAATTTAGTATACAATGAACAAGCATAAAATCTGTCAGTGGTAGAATTGTTTAATAAGTTTTGGGATGGTCAGATAGCAGTTAGGAAAGTTCCTGTAGAGCCTTTTCATATGCAAATGTTATGGTTGACCTTTTTAAAATGGAAAAACTACTGAAACTGTGAAAAGAATAGTAATCTTCTAATGTGAGAAGACTGTGAAGAAGTGACTGTAAAAATTAAGTACATCTGTATGAACAAACCCAATACAATTAAAACTAAAAAGAAAAATAACAAAGTGGAAACACAAATATAACCTTACATGATTACCGTATTATGAAAATATTTATAACACTAAGATTTCAGTAACTACATTAATAAAGGACAGACATGCCCATTAGCTCATTAGTTAGAGTTATTACCTCATTAGTAATTAGAAACAATAGTGAATAACTTTTTTTTATACTTATTGAGTAATCATACTAAAGAATTCCATAGGGAATCAAGTGTTCATGCATTGCTTTTGGAATTGGAACAGCTCATTTGAAAGGTAGTATGGTAGTATATATCTTTTTTTTTTTTTTTTTTTTGAGACAGAGTCTTGCTCTGTCATTCAGGCTGGAGTGCAGTGGCTCGATCTCAGCTCACTGCAACCTCTGCCTCCCTGGTTCACGTGATCCTCCTGCCTCTGCCTCCCAAGTAGCTGGGACTATGGTGTGTGCCACCATGCCTTGCTAAGTTTTTGTATTTTTAGTAGAGATGGGGTTTGACTGTGTTAGCCAGGATGGTGTCGATCTCCTAATCTCGTGATCCACCCGCTTTGGCCTCCCAAAGTACTGGGATTACAGGTGTGAGCCACCATGCCTAGCTGGTAGTATATATCTTAAAGCCGTAAACATATCTAAGGCCATGGATTAATGATCTTACTCTTGGGAATTGACCCTAAGTAAATAAAATGAATTTCAAAAGCTATGTTAGAGCTGCATTTACAATGCCATTACTTATCATAGTTAAAAACTGAAGACAACCTAATTGGTCTACAGGGAAATTTTTGATGCATTATGCTAAATTAATACCTGAATAGTTCATATCCATTACATATAAGTGTAAGCGCTATGACAACAGGGACTGTATCCTTTTTGTTCTCTGCTATAAAATCAGGGTTTAGAAAAGCTTGGCATGTGGTGGGTACTGACAAATTAGTAGTAGTACTTTTTTTAAATGAATAATAGAATAATGTTGAGTTAAAAAAGAATTTAAAACATACATATATAGAACCTGTTCTCAAATACCTTAATGAGTAAGGGAGATGGGGAACAAGTTGGTTGATGAGTTTTTAGAGGAATTTGAACTGGGGTTTACAAGTTTAGTAGGTTATGGATTCTCTTGGGAGCCAGAAGATGGGAGTGCTACTCCAGGAAGATGTATTTGTCTGAGGAAAGACCTGACAGTAGGAATTGACTGGAGAATAAGGCAGGTGGTTAGGCATAGATAAGGATAGAATTCTGAGTGGACTTGCAGAGTTAGCTAACGAGATGGGTCTTTATTCTTCTATATGAGAAGTCACTGATGCTTTTTCAACAGAGTTTGACATAGGAAGAGCTATATAATTCAAGGAGTTAATCCACCTTTGCCATGTAAGACAGGTTTTCTCAAGGAGTTTAGTTAAACCAGGAGTCCCCAAACCCCGGTGAGAGACTGTTGGAGTTCATGGTTACCAAGGTAGCTAGAGCTTGAGTGGCTAAGACAGTCACAGAGAAGTGAGCCTAGAAGTCTGAGCCATGTTTCCCTTCAGAATTGTCACAGCTTAGTAAGCAACACAAACCAACAGGCAATAAAGTCAAGCAGAAAGTGGCTACTAACAAACTGAGAAGCTCAGCAAAGTTTTCAGCAGTTTCATGGTGCTAGAGATAGAGGCATCCTGGTAAACACCCTAGGTTGAACAACTGCATCCTAGCAGTAAGAGTGAAACAGAAGTAGACCAGGTCTTAATAAGATTGAAACAAGCTTCAAGTTAGCTTGATCTCTGATTGGATTAGCTCCCACTGCCAACCAGAAAGTAAAAAAAGCTCTTGAATTGAAGATAAAATTCACATCCTTTATAATTTTTGATGATACAGTGTTTGACATTGAGTCCCCAGATTCCACGCATGCCAAGAGTTAGGAACAAGAGAAAAAACAGATGCAAAAATAGACACAGATGATCAGGTGTGGACTTCAGTAAAAAATGTTGTGCCTCTTCTTTCATTGCTCCTTTGTTTCTGATGAGATGTCTGCTGTCATTTGAATTATTTTCCCTTATAGATAAATAAATTATCATTTTCTCTCTTACTGTTTTTATTACATTTTCTGTGTCTTTAGCTTTCTGAAGTTTAACTATGATGTGCCTTAATGTGGATTGCTTTGGGTTTATCCTGTTTATGGTTCACTTATCTTCTTGAATCTGTACATTTATGTGTTTTGCCAAACTTGGAAAGGTACTTAGTTTTATTTCTTAGAGCACTTTTTTAGCCCTGCCCACTTTGTTCTCTCCTTGTTGGACTCCATGGCAGAAGATAGATCTTTTGTTACAGTCACACAGGTCTTGAGGCTCTAATTATTTGTTTTCAGGCTATTTTCTCTCTGTTGTTTACACTGGATAGTATCTATTGTTCTGTCTTCTAGTTCAGTGATTCTTTTCTCTGTCTTTTCCATTCTACTATTAACATCCATCCATTCCATCTTTTGTTTCAACTATTGTATTTTTCAGTTCTGAAATTTCCATTTGATTCTTCTCTGTATCTTTTCTTTCTTTTCAGTATGTATGTACTTTGTATCTTTCTTTGTTTTTGAGACTCTCAATTATTTTGTTGTTTCAAGTATATCTGTAATGGCTCCTTGAGTCATTTTTATGATGGCCGCTTAAAAATGCTTTTCGGATAATTTTAACACCTCCGTCATCTTGGTATTGGCATCTGTGGATTGCCTTTTTTCATTCTGTTTGAGATATTCCTGGATCTTGGTATGACGAGTGATTTTTATTTGATACCTGGACATTTTTGGTGTTAAGGGCTGACACTCTGGGTATTATTTAAATGTTCTGATTTAGTTGGCT